AAAAAAAAAAAAAAAAAAAAAAAAGCTTTCTGTAAAGCTCTGGGCAAATATAGAGCAGTATGGTGGTGCTTTATCATCTGTCCCAAAGTATCTGAGAATGAATTTGTAAAGATGCAATTTATCAATTTCTCTTCCTTACCATATGTTTCGGGGGAAGATTCAAAACCTAAAATTATTCTGTCTTAAAATATGACTATTTGATACATGTGGGATAAGGAGGACAGGGTTTCCAAAGGAAAGAGAACAACCTATTTGGGGAAGTTACATAAAATTCTAAGCCATAACTAAGTGAGAGTGAGGAATTCCTTTCATAGTGACGTCTTTTTACATTAAATCTAAATGACAAATATTAAAAATCAATAATAATAAGTAATAAAAATTAAAAAGTTTGGTCAGGCACGGTGGCTCATGCCTATAATCCCAGCACTTTGGAAGGCTGAGGTGGGCAGATCAAGAGGTCAGGAGTTCAAGACTAGCCTGGCAACATGGCAAAACCCCGTCTCTACTAAAAATACAAAAATCAGCCAGGAGGGGTAGCATGCGCCTGTAATCCCAGCTACTCGGGAGCCTGAAGCGGGAGAATCTTTTGAACTGGGGAGGCAGAAGTTGCAGTGAGCCTGGGTCATGCCACTGCACTCCAGCCTGGGCAACAGAGAGAGACTTCATCTCAAAAATAAATAAAATTCAAATTTAAAAAATAAATTAATAAAAAATAAACAAGCTTCTTTAGTAAGGAGCAAAATACCCACCGTTTCCTTAGGCTGACAGAGCACATGCATCTCCTCCAACCTCTCTCTGGCATATCCAAAGTCAGCCTGTTTCCAGAAAATGTCCTCAGCTGACTCAAGAGTGTCCGTCCTAGTTGCAAAGAAAAATATTCTGTGTTTTTTTTTCTTTTTACTTTTTTTGGACCTTGAATTTTCATTCTAAAGGTTAAAATGCTAGAAGTTCCTTATTACTTTAATTTTTTTTACAGTATACTATCAGAGTTTTTCCAAAACTATGCCTCGCTAAGTGAAGTTATCAAACTGTTATTCACAGAATAATTTCCTTATGAAAATATATAACAGACATGTATGAAGTTATCATCTGAAACTGAAGACAATGATGCATTCTTAATTACTGTATTTTCTTTACCGCATTAATATTGCATGTATTGGAAGTACTAATTATACTTAATTCTCCCAGGAAGAATCAAGAGGAAACCATTCATTTATTTTCTTAGTGTACACTGGGGGAAAAAATTTTCTACAGTCCTGGTTGTTTTCTCCCTATGGCAGAGGAAACTACAGATATTCCTATCCCAGTGTGAGACAGTCCAGTTGAATTCATGATTGTGTAAACAAATTAATATCTAAATGAATTAGGAAGAGGGTATTCCAAATGGAAACTCACCATCCCATGTCGACATAGCTGCAAACTGGGTAACCAAACCTGAACTCTGGTTTGCAGGATTTCTCATAACCCCAGCAGTACTTTAGATTTTCTAGGTGTTTCTAGAACATAAAACTTACATTGATTTCCCTTCTTCTGACATTTAGAGAAGACTCTTAGATTTTTCCATTAGGAAAACAAATCATTATAGAACATTCACATTTACAATTTACAATATGTATTCGTATAATAATAAATTTAAAACTTAGTTAATTCTAAAAAGCACAGTCTCAAGGTTCTTAACAATCCTCCTTACTCATCACCCCCAGCACATCTGTCCCCTCACCAAAACTCTGGGCTTTACCTAAACTCTCAAAGACTACTTGAATTAGAATTTCTTGAGGTAGCTTAAGAAACTGCCTTTCTCAGTGAGCAGGCGGATTCTAAAATCAGTCCCTAAGAGACATATACATTGGAATTTGTGCTACCGAAGGACTCACATCTAAATTGAATGAATCAGCAACTTCAATCAGCAATCAAGATCAGCAGCGACCCCACAAGACCTGGACAACTCTGCCACCCTTGGGAACTACCCAGCTGCTGCTGGCCAAGGAACTCAGAATGCTCTTCTACAAGGCCCCAGGAGCAATGCTGGTCTGATTCCCAAGTTTGCTTTTCCATATGCTTCCTGTGCCAGCACCATGGGAAAGGAAGTGTCTCACAATGCTCAGCTTTGATCTCTGAGGCCCTGTGAGATGTCTTAATGGGCTCCTATTTGAGGCCTTTCCAACTCCTCTAAAACAGAAAGACAGCCACAGCAACAGGCTTAATTATGTGGAGACAGAAGCTGAGGTGTTATTACTGAAATTAAGTGCTAAGCGATCCTCTTAGCTGGTTAAGAAAGAAGAGGTGTGAAATTCTTTACTTTTAACAAGATGTTCTTTCCTGCAGAAAATCTAATTGCTTCATTTACAGAGTTTACAAACAGTATTGGCTACTTTTTTAGAGTGATTTAGATTTTAAATTTCACTCTTATGAATGGGACATAATTTTAACCAGTTTACTCACCTAGAAGCATTAAATGAAATTGAAACAATTATTAACTTACACAGTGACAACCAGAAATTAGAATTCTACCTTCAGTTTCAGGTTATAAAGCAGAACCAGTAAGCCAGCCCACGTTGCATCCGCATAAAAATAAGGAGAGAAGAAATAATACCTACCTTATATGGACAGAGAGAGTCTTTCTTACAGACAGTGGCAATATGCCTATTGTTATGCAAAAAGAAGGGAATGTGCTCCTCTGGCAAGCGGATGCTGGCATAGTTATACAGAGGTTCGCCTGGAATGCTCTGAGTATTAGGTGGAGCTTCATTTTGGCCACTCAGTGGGACTTCATGAAGTAAGACTCCAAAGACAAGCAGTATTAACATAGCAACCTGAAAACCTAGAGATCAATGCAAACAACTTTGTTAACAAATTTCCCTTAAAAGTCAAAAAAAAAAAGGTCAAAGGCTAAGTATAATTACAAAGCACTTTGCTATCCCACTGAGTAATATTCCTTTATTAAATTTTTTCTGAGCACTTTCCTGGTGCCAGGTACTGTGTTAGGAAATGGGTATACATAGGTGAACAAAACAAGAAACAGCTTGCTGTCACGGAGCCTTTAACCTAGTACAACAGCCAAAAATAAGCAATCAAATACATCAACAACTTCAGCTGATGACTGGGCCTGTGACTCAAACCAACTAGGGGCCAGCAAACTTTTTCTGTAAAGGACAAGCAGTAAGTATTTTTGGCTTTGCCAGACGTAAGATCTCTGTGGCAACTACACAAGAGTGCCTCTGTCCAGAAAGAAGCCATGGTCTATTGCAAAAGAATGGATGAGACTGTGTTCCAGTGAAGCTTTTTATTTACAAAAATTATGGAAGAGCTTGATAGGATCCAATTTAGTGATACCTGAAATAAAATAAGGTAATATGATAGACAACATAGCATGGTGGCTAAGAACCTGAATTTTTAAAGCTGAACCACCTGGATTTGAATCGCTGTCTGCAGCTTCCCAGCTGTAAGACCTTGAACAAGTTACTTAACCTTTCTGCATTTAACCTTTCCCATCTGTAAAATGGAAATAATAATAAACCTTCATCATAGAGCTATCATGAGTTAAATGAGTTACCTATTGGTAAAGTGTTCAGAAAAGTATCTGACACATACTAAATGCTACAGAAGTATTTATTAAATAAATGTTTAGGCCGGGCGCAGTGGCTCACGCCTGTAATCCCAGCAATTGGGGAGGCTGAGGCAGGCAGGCACAAGAGATCGAGACCATCCTGGCCAACATGGTGAAACCCTGTTTCTACTAAAAATACAAAAATTAACTGGGTGTGGTGGTGCACACCTGTAGTCCCAGCTATTTGGGAGGCTGAGGCAGAATTGCTTCAATCTGGGAGGCAGAGTCTGCAGTGAGCCCACCACTGCACTCCAGCCTGGTGGCAGAGTGAGATTCTGTCTCAAAATAAATAAATAGACAAATATTTAAAGCCATGTGGGGCGAGAAAGAGCCTAAATAACACTTGAACTGAGATCTGAATGATGAGGAGGCAGACAAGCATTGGTGAGAGAGCAAACAGAGTAGGATGGCTCTGAGCAAGTGTGTGTCTGCCGAATAAAAATTATAATCACAATCAAGGTGTGGGCACAATGTTCCAGGAGCTCTTCTAAATGCTCAGGATACAACAATGAAGGTGCAGTCATGAACTAAACTCATTGCCCTTGTGAAGGTTACATGCTAGCAGGTCTAATAATAGCTAAGTCTTAGAAACTCCAGGAGTGACATGAAGCAGTCTGCCTCAAAGACTCTGCCCTTAAACTCTCCCGTCATGCCTTTACCTTGTGAACAGTGACAATGGTCACGAGACTCACTGCACTTCTAACTCACCCAGTAAGTGTTAAATCTCTTGGACCAGATTTCTCCTATATATCCCAGACAATGATCCTGCCATTCTCAGGTGACTTTTGTGGGATCTTTGTTCTGTAAGTGCTCTTTCCTCTGGATGACAGAGCCATTAATGTACATTAAATGTTTATCAGCTAGGACTGCTGTTTCCTGAGTCATACCGGAAAACCCATCTTTCAAAATTAGTCTTCACTGACCATGGGCTATGAAGATGGACCCTTGGAAATAGACTGCAGGCCCAATGTGGTGGCTCATGTCTGTATTAGTAGCAGTTTGGGAGTCTGAGGCTGGCAGATTGCTTGAGTCCCTGAGTTTGAGACCAGCCTGGGCAACATGATGAAACCCTATCTGCTAAGAAGGCAAAAAAATCAGCTGCAGTCCCAGCGGAAGTGGGAGGATCACTTTAGCCTAGGAATTCAAGGCTGCAGTGAGTCATGATCTCATCATTGCACTCAAGCCTGGGTAACTCGAGGGAGATCCTGTCTCAAAAAAAGAAAGAAAGGAAAAGAAAAAGAAAGAAAGAAAAGAAAGAAAGAGGAAAGAAAGAAAAAGAAAGAAAGAAAGAAAAAAGAAACTGACTGCTATATTCCATCAAACCTCAAGTTCCAAGGCCATGGAATTCTAAGTGAACAGTGGGGACACCAAGAAGACATCCCTTTTACCCCCTTCCTCGCACCCCCAGAGTAGTTATGTACTGTGGTTTTTCACTTTGGCGGCCCTGAAGAGTGTGGTGTTAGCTGCTGTAAATCTGATTGAATTATAATATTTTCACTTGGAGCTTTTATCTAAGAATGAGTTGACAGCAATTTCATAAAAATTTAAAAATATATATTAATAGTAATAATGACTCTACTTATAATCAAAATATTTACCTCTTGAATCCTCAGAACCACTCAGAAGCTTCTGCGATGTTTCAGGTCTCTAAATCCTGTCAGAAATGAAACATATTGCCTTAAAGGGATGCTAAAGTAGACTTGATCATTCAGGTGATGTTGTGAATTAAAGGAAACAGAAAGAAAGTAATGTAACGGGATAACCCTCAGCCAGAAGGCCTGGCCCGTGGTGCTTTCTTTTCCTTAACCAATACCACATTGCTAAACAAGAATTCACAGGCACCACTCCCAATACAGCAACTTGGACAAGATTCCAATGGTGGCCCACTTTCTACAGGCATCCACTGGAACTGGCCAACAGGATACTAAGGAATCAAACATTCCCAGGAGCAAACAACTTTCCCATTCTGACAGCAGTAATCCTGCTGACTGAATCACAGGGCTACCCACCTAGAGTGGCGAATCTGAGGGTTCCCAGACCTTCCTATTTTTTGACTCGTCCTTCCCGGTAATAAAAGTCATTGCTATGACCAAGCCCTGACCTTTGGTTATCCAAGTCCATTGTCCTCCAGTGAGCTCTGGCCATCACTAAACTCACCAATCCGTAGAGAAGAAGTAACGCTTAGGCGATGAAAAAAGTCTAAAGACGCAGATCAGAGAGCTGGCTTCTGCCGAGGGCATGTACCCACTTGCATAAGACGGCTGAGGGTGGCTGCTGGACCTGGCACAAAGCCTTCCTGGTGTCGGTCCTCCTGCAAGGCCTGCCGGGATGGGTGGCTGCACTCCTCCAGCACCGGACGCTTTGGTGGCCAAGCTACTTTTGCTTCAGCTCAAAGCAGCTGGGTTCACTCCACTCCCGAAACCCTTGATTAGATTTCCACAGGCCTAACGAGGGAGGGAAAAAGGGAAACATCTGAAAGATGATGGATAAGAGGCACAACCTGGGGTTGATAGGGACACGGGGGGCGAAATAGGGCAATGTCACAGATAGACAGAGGTTGGAAAAGTTTAAAAGACGCTATTGGCCAATGGAAAGTTCAACACATGTGAGACTCCGAATCATTCCTCAACTGCTGTCCCCCACTTGTGCCAAAAAGTCTCTCGGAGGGTGCCAGGCAGGGCACAGGAAGGGTTCGGCTGCCGGAGAGTCCAGCTGTCCGCTAGAACGTCAGTCCCGGCCCAGGGCTGAGGGGTCAGCAGAGAGTGCCCCGCCGCGGGTGAGACGCCGAGCTGGGGTTCTGGACCCCGGTGCGCCGCCTGGGACTGCTTCGGGGCTGGAGATCCCCCGGGGCCGCCCGTCACCCCGCACCGCCGCGCCCCGGGTCCCCATCGCGCCTGGGAAGGGCCCGGGAGCGGCTCCGCCCCGGCCTGGAAGCCAGGTCAACGCGGCTAGGGCCCAGGGCTGCCTGCGCTCCCCTGCAGTCGCCGGGAAGGGGCCGGGCGCCCGGGGCCTGGGAGGGTCGGGATCGGCTTCCGACGGCCGCCTCCCGGCCCGCAGGGGATGAGAAGGCGCGGGCAGAGAGCGTGCGCAGGCTACAGCCCTCCGGGAAGCCGCGCCGGGAGCCTGCACCGCCCGGGGCGAGAGCGGCGCAGAGCGCGGCCGCGGCTTGGAGGCGAGCGGCGGAAGGAAGGCTCCGCAGATTGCGGGCGAGTCCCACCTGGAGCCGGCGCAGCCGTGACTACCGAGCAGGAGGCGAGGAGACGGCGGCTGTTCCAGAGGAGGGAGTCGTCATAACCGGCTACTGCCGCTCACCGGAAACCTTCGGCGCTGGAGCTGGGCCAGGGGGCGCCAAGGAGCAGCTGGGACACCTTGGCCAGCCGGCGCCGGGGGCGGGCTCCGGTCCCGCAGAGGCAGGACCGGGGCGACACCCCGGAGGGCCAGGGCGCGGGGCGTGGCCTCCACCCGGCAAGCGCGGCAGGGAGGGGCTCAGAGTGGGGGAACCTTCTGCTCTTCCTGGCGCTCTCCCGCGAAGGTTCGCGCGAGTCCGCCAGCTCCCTCACCAGGGCAGGAAAGACCCGCGGCGCCGGCCGAAGTCGGACACCCAGTCCAGCGCAGCAGCCCGCGCCTCCTGGAGCGCGAGGTTAAAGCGCTCAGAGGACGTTAGGACGGGGTGACTAGAAAACCTGACCCTGTTCGTCTCTTCTGCGTTGCACTGAGGCGGATTTTTACTGTTGTCTTTCAGGCAGAAGTTGCCGCCCTAACTTCCAAATTTGGGAACTAAACATAGTTCACCGAATACACTTTGTGGTGGTGAGGATACTTTGGAGTCTACACACATTTTAAAAGCTGTATAGTTTACACATCTGTAAACTCATCAAGTTCAGATACTGTGGAGTTTAATTTTTGTGGTTTTGTTAATTTAGAATATTTTAATTATTACTGCTTTATAATTATTTGAACTCCCATCCCCCATTGTCTTCTTCTAAGCACCCTCAGTCCTAGTATTCCATCTAGAGCACAGTAGAGTTGATCATTAAATAGTGACTAAAGTTGAACTGATTATATGAAGGTGATGCCTTCAAAACAAACATGCTCAAATGCATCAAGTCACCGAAGTAATATGATCATAAGGAAACAAGTTGGTTCCCAAAGGCTTACATGCTTTTTAAGTAATTTTTTTAAAGTAATGTTGTTTACGAATTGTTACAGGTTCCATTAGTGACCTGCTAGATTAGGAATATTATCTGAAATTTTTGTCAAATAATAACAGCAAAAACATATATGGTATTTGACCTGTTCCAAACATTGTTCTAAAGCACTTTACAGTATTTTTTATTTATTTATTTATTTATTTATTTTTTTGAGACGGAGTTTCGCTCTTGTTACCCAGGCTGGAGTGCAATGGCGCGATCTCGGCTCACCGCAACCTCCTCTCCTGCCTCAACCTCCTGAGTAGCTGGGATTACAGGCACGCGCCACCATGCCCAGCTAATGTTTTGTATTTTTAGTAGAGACGGGGTTTCACCATGTTGACCAGGATGGTCTCGATCTCTTGACCTCGTGATCCACCTGCCTCGGCCTCCCAGAGTGCTGGGATTACAGGCTTGAGCCACCGCGCCCGGCCAGTATTTATTTTTTTATATATATATAAAAGAATTTGCCTCTAAGGGAACTGTCAGATGCATGTGAACCAGAGCAACTCCATCTTAAATAGGAGCTGGGTAAAATGAGGCTGAAAACTTACTGGGCTGCATTCCCAGAGGGTTAAGGCATTGTAAGTCATGGGATGAGATAGGAGATTGGCACAAGATACAGGTCATAAAGACCTTGCTGATAAAACAGTTTGCAGTAAAGCAGACAGCCAAAACCCACCAAAACCAAGATGGCCGTGAAAGTGACCTCTGGAACTCCTTACAATTACACTACCCTCAGCACCATGACAGTTTACAAATGCCATGGCAACATCAGAAGGTTACTCTTTATGGTCTAAAAAGGGAAGGCATAAGTAATCCATCCCTTGTTTAGCATGTCATCAAGAAAGAATCCTAAAAATGGACAGCCAGCAGCCCTTGGGGCACTTTGTCTATGGAGTAGCCATTCTTTTATTCCTTTACTTTCTTAATAAACTTGTTTCACTTTGCACTGCAGACTTGCCGTGAATTCTTTCTTACTGAAGATCCAAGAACCCTCTCTTGGGGTCTGGATGGGGATCCCTTTCCTGTAACGGAATTGCTGCTCTATTATTACTTTGCATCCTTCACCCATCCCACACTAATAAGGATGGTAAGGATGGTAATTTTTTTCAGTGCTTCCTCCAGCTAGGCACTGTGGCCCATGCCAGTAGTCCCAGCTACTCAGGAGGATCGCTTGAGCCCAGGGAGGTCAAGGCTGCAGTGAGCCATGATTGAGACACTGCACTCTAGTCTGGACCAGAGTGAGACCCTGTCTTAAAAAAAAAAAAGCTTCCTCAGCCTACTTGCTACCATCCTATTTTTTTCACATACAAAAAGGTTCAAATTAGTATGACATCTACATGGTACTATTATTTTTTGTAGACAGGTTCTTGCTATGTTGCTAGCACTGGTTTCCAACTCCTGGCATCAAGTGATCTTCCAGCCTCGACCTCCGAAAATGCTGGGATTACAGATGTGAGCCACCACGCCTGGCTACATGGTGCTGCTATTTTAAACAGCTACATATTGAATGGTCATTCAGACTTACAGGGAACAGATATGATAAACTTGAACATGAGATTGAGTCTAACTGAAATAGAATTTCTCTCCAAAATATCAATGTTATTTTCTTCAAGTTGACATAAAACTCGAATGTCTACCAATAGAAGGCTGGTTGAATAAACTATGGTTTATCCATACATTGTAAAGCTATGCAGGCATAAAAAGGAATCGAGAAATATCTCTATACATCACAGGATATTTACTGAGTGGGAAAATGATATGTAATATGTAAAATACCATTTTTCTAAGAGGAATATGTATTATACATGTATACACACATATATTTACTGATTGTTATTTTACAAAAAGAATAACATTTAAAATGACTATATGGGGAAGGAGGGAAGAGAAGGGGCATAAGGAACAAAGAAGACATGACTTTATTTTTTGTTTTTTGGATTTGTATGTGTGTGTGTGTGTGTGTGTGTGTGTGTGAGAGAGAGAGAGAGAGAGAGAGAGAGACTCACTATTGCCCAGGCTGGAGTACAATGGTACAATCTCAGATCACTGCAACCTCAGCCTCCTGGGTTCAAGCAATTTTCCTGCCTTAACCTCCCGAGTAATTGTGATTACAGGCATGTGCCACCACACCTGGCTAATATTTGTATTTTTAGCAGAGATGGAGTTTCACCATGTTGGCTCAGGCTAGTCTGAAACTCCTGACCTCAAGTGATCCACCCACCTCGGCCTCCCAAACTGCTGGGATTACAGGTGTGAGCCACCGTGCCCAGCCTAAAGACATGACTTTGGAGTCATGTAAATATATGACATTATAAAGCAAAATTAAATTTTTAAAAAGCAGTCTTTGATAGTAAAATGAAACTAAATGAACCTAAATGTTTTCCAATTTGGCATATCACCCAGAGGAGCTATCCCAAGTGACTTTAAAACTTAATTTATATATACTTAGCAGGATGTATTCTCAGGACTAAAATAATTACAGAAAACTCTGTAGACTGCATTCCATAACAAAATTGTTGGTGGCACTGTTGGTTTTGTGGGATACGCCAAGTTGAAGTAAGTATGATGGTAACTCTGAAGCTGAAATTTTTGACAGGAGATAGAGATGAAAGCTTGATCAAACTATATAGATGTCCTGTAGCTCTGATTTTCAGTTGGAGGCCTCAGTATGATTAATAATATGGTTAATTTTTAAAAACAAGTCTCTCCTACATGCTCCATTGAAAAGGCCTGGAGACAAGCTACCCAGTAGGAAGAAGCACCCCTTTGTGCTCAAACTGTGATCTCTACAAACCATTTCCCATTAAAAGAAACACTGACTCCCTAGAACAACGGATGATCTTGGGTCTGAACCAGTAGCCTGCAACATCTTACATCAGGATGCAGCGAAGCAATCAAAAGGCTATTAGGGTCATATCAAAAGGACTCAGGAACCACCTTGAAAACCTTCCTACTGGCTAAAGATAGGATAATTTAAAACATCAATATAGATAACTGTAATGGGATGAAGCACAGATATATTAAAATAATTATATCGGATACAACCAATCAACCAAACATGCAAACCAAAAAGGTATCACTGTTCATTTTTAATAATAGAAGGAAACCAACTCTTATTCTGAAAACTGGTAAACAAAGGGAATCAGGCACACTGTCTTTCCTATATGAAATATGATGCAAGTAATGAAATTACTGAAGTAAATTTTTTATAGAGACATTCCAGCTACTAAGTGAAAAAGAAGTGACAAGTAATATCACTCCACAAGCTCTATGAACTAATAGATTCAAGAAGTGTTCATTGATGATTTTGATATCACTATTGAGAAACCTTCAGACATTATGTGTCTCCTGCTGGAAGAATACACTTCCACCTAATGAAGTATATTTGTTGAAAAATTATTGCCTTTAGATCTAAACACAGGAGGCAGAACACAATCAACATCTAGATGGAGGGAAACTCTATAGGACAAATGACATAGTTTTTTTCTACAAATAAGAAATCTCATAGAAATTCCAAGAATTAAGAAAAAGAGAGACAGAGACGGAAGAATGCATAGCTTTAAAAAATTGAGACAAATCCAACAAACTACAATGAGTAAACCTGATTTTGTTTTTTGTTTTGTTTTGAGACAGAGTCTCACTCTGTCACCCAGGCTGTAGTGCAGTGGTGTAATCACAGCTCACTGCAACCTCCACTTCCCAGGTTCAAGCGATTCTCCCGCCTCAGCCTCCTGAGTAGCTGGGACTACAGGTGCGTGCCACCACACCCAGCTAATTTATTTTCATTTTTAATAGAGACGGGATTTCGCCATGTTGGCCAGGCTGGTCTCAAACTCCTGACCTCAGGTGATCTGCCTGCCTCGGCCTCCCAAAGTGCTGGGATTACAGGCATGAGCCACTGCACCCGGCCGATTTCCTTCTTGATTCAAACATATTAACTTTAAAAAACAATTTAAGACAATTGAGAAAAATATAGATTGGATATTCAGTATCAGGAATTAGGTTAATTTTTTAGGTGTGATAGTGACATGGTGATTTTCTAAGTCCTTAAATTTTAGAGTTACATATGCGAATATGTTCACATCATATGTCTGAAATGTACTTCAAAATAATCAGTGAAGGGT